CGCTTCCGTCTTCGCTCCCACTCCACGCACGTATTCACTTCCACTCACATATACACAATTCACACACTCACTTAGCGCTTTCATGCGTATGTGTATGTTTTATCTATCTGCTTTTATTTTATCCGCAGTTTACATTTACCGTATTTATTTTATCGCAATGCATAGTGTCCAAAGGAAGAACCTGCGCATAACTTAAGCAATTGTGCGTATGCATCTCATTTGCATCATACTCCCCATTGATCCTTGATCACATTCAAGTCGATCTTCTAAGTTAGATCCTACCCCATAGGGAGGACCTTTTATCTTTACAACTTAGACAAACACATTCAACAACTCAATTCAAAATATTCAAACATATTAGAGAATAAGATGTTAATCATCTTAAGCGAGACAAAGCTTCTACCCCATAACAATTCAATCAATATGTAGGGACTTTGCCTTAGGAGAGATAGAGGCGTACTTGTTGACAATCCGAGTACTTGAGCTCTCCTCTTAAGACGATGCAAAGACTATTTTCCTACAAAGTTGTGGTGGTTAAAACAAGTAATCTCCCTTAAAATGATAACTCATCTTTTCTCCTAAAATCAATCAATCCACTACCCTAAACCCGTAGGAACTTTGACCACAGTCAAAGAAATCCTCAAACCCTTTAGGGGAACTACAGATACTCTGATTCCATTCCCGTAAGGATATGTAGGCATAAGATGCAATATCTTATCGAGTATACTTAGAAATAAACCCCTAGGTCTTTCATCCTTAAGCAGGTAAACCTTAGCAATAAAACAAACATTAAAATAAGAGGTTCCTGTAGAGTACTATAGAAACTTAGGATGCTAGCACCTTCCCTAAGTTTAACCACCCCCTGAACCTATAACTCTCTAGCTTGCATTTGCATTGCATTGTGGGTATTTCGATCTTTTTCCCTTCCTTTGGACAAATCAAAGTTCGGTTGCAAATGAATTAAGATTCAAGCTAATCAGTAGCTTGGTATCCAAATTTCACCGCGACAGAAATGGCGACTTCACTGGGGATATCCTTGTGGGTTTCCCTAACTTGTTTTATCATTGCTTGTTATATGTTTGATTATCTGCTTATTTGTATATTTGCTCTTGCTTGCTTTTAGGTTAATATCTTTGAGTGGTGAGACAAGGTCCTACACCCGGACTTGAGTGAACTTAAGATAGGATAGTGATATGTTCGACGAGGCTTATATAGGGTTGAATCCCGACCAAGCTGACTTGAAAATCACGCTCAATTGAGGCCCTCTCGAAAGCTGTCATGTTGAATGAGTTTTAATCGTGAAAACATACATTATTTTCGATGTTGGAGCCTATGATATTGAGGACCGTAGTTACCTTAACCCCACTTTGGCCTTTATTAGGATGTAGTGCGAGGACTATGAGGGAGTACTCTCAAAATAGTTGCTACGCGATGCTACACTCAAACGATGTTCTCTGGAGAATATTATTAACCACCAAGTAATTGGGAAGTTGATAATATCCGAAAGATGGACTAATGACTTTGGGAACCTTCTTAGAACCTTGTTCTGCAGGTACAATCAACCTTTAGTCCACATCCTTTGGAAATGGGTATACCCCTTGCTCCATGCTCGTTGCAAACCTAGGGCTTTCTTGTTTGTTTATCCTTATGTCCTTATGTGCTTACTTGTGTTTGTTGCATCCATAAAGCATCATATTGCATTGGTTTCATAGAATCCCGAGTTTATTTATAAACATTATAGAACCAATAGGGATTACAACAGAAAAATATTTTGAAATATTCTTTTAAGACTCCTAACTTGGATGACCTAAGGAAGTTAGAAGCTCCCATTGAAGGTCAATAGAAGTTCAAAAGAGTTTCACCAATATTTAAGATCCAAATAAACAAGGGACTCCTTCCTTACCTTCCAACAAGAAAAGAAGAATGATGGAGGATTTATTTTCTTCTATCAGAATATTCCTTAGAAATTGATCGTGAACCACTTATATTCAAGAAAATCCAGATAGAACAACAAATCAACAAGCACGATGAAGGACTTCCTTAGGACTTTACTAGCTTTTATTTAGCTATGAGGTCAGAACTCTTATAAGAATGTTTATTTGTAATCGATATAAAAAAAATAATAAACGAGTTTTCTTTGGGTACTCTGTGACATTTATAAATACTTGAGTTCCATGAAACCTTTCGTTTTGCATTCTTGCATTTGCATTTTGCATTTTGCATCAACATAGCATCCTTTGCATTCCGGAGGGGTCTCACTCTTGCTTCATCTTCACAGACAAGCTGAATCACCAGTACAACACTTGAGTCAGTCGACGCCAAAAGATGGATCAATTGGAACAAGAGAACAAAGTGCTCCGTGACGAAGTTGCAATCCTGAAGGGAAATTTGGAAAGGTTGAATGGTCTAGTTGAAGCTCTGTCCAACCAGTCTGCACTCGACAATCAAGAAGTTCAGAGGACCGTTATCTCCGAAGTAGTATTAGCACTGATCCCAGTGGTGTCTACTGTTGCTGAACTGACCTACAGCATACCGCCAGGTTTCCCGTGGGAAATGCCTCCTTATTTCACTCCTGTTGGCTATCGCCCGCCTGTTCCTGAGGTCCCTGCCGTAACCACTGTTCAAGCCATTCCTGCAACTACTGTTGTCATGACTACTGCACCTCCACATGTGAATGTTGTTCCATATATGTTGGATGAGCCAATTTTCCATGGGTCTCCGACTGAAACCGTGGGTTTTGAAAAAGGATGGATGGATTTCAAGACCAGTTTTCTGAGATTCAGAAAGAATTAAAAGCTCTTCGTGGAAAGGATTTGTTTGGAAAGAGGGCTTCTGACTTGTGTCTGGTTCCGAATGTTAAGGTTCCGCCAAAGTTTAACGTCCTTGATTTTGAGAAATACAAAGGAAATATCTGTCCTCAGAGTCATCTTATCAATTTTAACCAATTCTTTTTCTTTTTCTTCCTTCTTCTCTATCTTTTGTAAAACCTAATAGGGTTTCTTATATTTGTTCAATAAACTCAATATTTTTCTCATATTTTACTTTGTTCTTGACGACATCCTTATACATGTTAAAAACACATAAAAACTCACAAATTGAAGCACCTAATGTGCTATTCACAACTTGCATAAAAACAATATAAGTGCACTAAAATTAATCTAATAAGTTACTTGAATAAAAAGATAAAATCAAGTGTTAAGGGCTATAATACCTCACACATACTAAATTATCACAAACCAATTTTGACCTTCTCCTGAAACCATCTTAATTTTTCTAACGTCCTTCCACCACAAAAAATCATTTTTATCATTGGATAGAGTTAAAGTGTTTAGGATTTTTCCATATGAACATCACCATATCTACAAGAAAGTAAATCAACCCATATCGAATTTTGTTCGGTCTGAATCCTCCAATTCTATTTGTTTATAAGTGATAAGTTAAATAAACAAATGAAGTTACATATATAAAATAGCAATAGAATTTACAACATATTAATTTCTTGCATAATATAAAATCAAAACATAAGCTCTTTGCAAAAAAATGAACAGATTTGAGTGTTTTCCAAACATAAAGGTGGCCGTTTTACCTATCTCAATCCTTACATCTATACCTCCATCTCTATATTTTTTAAATAAACCAATTTTACTTCTAATGTAACTTACTTTTATAAAAATACATTATGTTCAAAAACAGGGCCGGACTAATAAATCCGGAGGCTTGTTTGATTTAAAAATTGACCAATTTTTTAAAAATATAATTAAAATAATTGAAAATGACATAAAAAAATATAAAATTATTTATTAATTAGAAATAAATTTAATTATAATTATTTTAATATTTGATCCATCTCATTTTTTTATGTATTGAATTTTTATTATAGTCTTTTTTTATTAAATTTATATTATAATATTTATTTATGTTGGTTAATATTAATATGAAAAAATTAAACATTTTAAAATTTGGGGACTCTAATATTTGAGGCCATGTGCGCTAGAGCTGCGGCTCTTGCACAAAATCAACTCTAAAAATAATGTTAAAACTTATAAAATATGGTCAAAATTTGATACATGAAAAAAAAATTGTAGAAATATTTTGTGGTATTTAAAAAAAAAACGTATATTTGACTTTAGTATAAAAAGTATATCAATTTTTTCATTTTTTAAAAGTAGTTTAATATTTAAAATCCACTTTTTAAATATGAACAATTAAAATGTCATGTATTTAAACCTATAGCTCTACATTTGATATTCATGATTTAATTGTATTTCTAATTTTTTTTATTAAATGTCATATATTTTTCATTTCTTTAAAAATTCATCCTCGATTTAATTGCACTCCTAATTTTTTATATTAAATGTCATATTTTTGACATTTCTTAAAAAATCCACCCTGCTCGAAAAATACAACAATGTTTAAATTTTTTATAGTTGCAAAAATATATATTTAACTCGAATTTTAATATCCGTAAAAAAAACTCAAATTTTAGTAATATATGATTTAAAATAGTTTTAATCATCCTATTCAACAATCACCAAATAATTATAAATTTTCATTAAAAAAATGATATTAAAACAACCAAATATTTTTGTAATGAATATATAGGAGCGTTTAAGGAAAAATAGAATTATAATTATATTTGTATGTGTAATACTAAATTGACTTATTATAGAATATAACCAATTTCTTATTGATATATTCATGAGAAGAGTAAAGTATATTACTGTGTTAAAAATTCAAAATATTATAAAAAAAAACATAAAATAGTAATTTCTAAATAAAAAAACATTAAATTGATAAAATTCTCAAAAATTAAAAATCTCTATTTTAGGTTTTGGAGTTCGCTTTGTAATGGGCTCGGCCCATTTTCTTTCTTTTGAGATAATCGTTTGAAGAAAATAAAACCGTTATTAGGTCTTTGCGTTCTTCGCGGTAACTTTACCACTATTTATATATTCAAATTCTTCTCTCATTTTTCGTCATCATCAACTACCTAAACGACGATGTCGCTACGACCAAATGTAAGAACCGATGCTCGCCGTAACCGTTACAAGGTCGCCGTCGACGCCGCCGATGGCCGCCGGAGACGTGAAGACAGCATGATCGAGATTCGCAAGAGCAAACGTGAAGAAAGCTTGCAGAAGAAGCGTCGCGAAGGCCTTCAATCTCAGGAGCAGTTCCCCACTCTCGACAAGAAGGTACTTCTCCGCCACCGCAGTTTTATAGCTGCTCTGTTATTTTATTCATTTTCATTTCTGTGGTGCAAGTTAGGGTTCAAGAAATTTCAGACGGTGTGATTTGAAGTTTGATACTAAATACTAAATGTTATTCAATTTATTCAATTGTGTCTGTTGATTGATGCAGCTAGAGAGTCTTCCTTCAATGGTTGCCGGCGTTTGTTCTGACGAGAGTAGTGCTCAAGTGGAAGCCACCATACTGTTTCGGAAGCTACTTTCAATTGGTAAATTGTGAATGATTAGTTTCTGTTCACCACTTTCTTGATTGTTCTTCTTTAGCCTCTACTAGTATGTGTTAATGTTCTTTTTTTTTTTTTTTTGTAGTAGAACGGAATCCTCCTCCGATTGATAAGGTTATTCAATCTGGTGTTGTGCCACGTTTGGTTGAGTTTCTTGCCAGAGAGGATTTCCCTCGACTCCAGGTTTCAAATGTTTGAATTCACATTTTTTGTGTGTTTTCCTTTGTGGATGGTTAAATTATTTCTAAACGTAGAGTGTTTGAAATCTGTTGTTGTTTAGCTTGAGGCTGCATGGGCTCTGACAAACATAGCATCTGGAACTTCTGAGAACACTAAAGTGGTGGTTGATCATGGAGCAGTTCCTGCATTTGTCACGTTGCTTAATTCACCTAGTGAGGAAGTTCGAGAGCAGGTATCTTATACTTGAATGTGTTCTACAAGCATCTCTCTTACTTTCATTGTTTGGTGATAATTATATTCATGAAATTCTAGGCCGTGTGGGCTTTGGGAAATATTGCTGGTGATTCCCCGTGGCATCGCGATCTAGTGCTTGGTCATGGTGCTCTTATCTCACTATTAGCCCAGATGAACGATCAAGCCAAACTTTCAATGCTGAGAAATGCCACATGGACTTTATCAAACTTTTGTAGGGGAAAGCCACAACTTCCATTTGAGCTGGTAGTATAACATCATTGTTTCATTTAAATGACATCTATTGTTTTATTGAAATCAAACCTTAGAGAGAGGTCTGTTGAGTTTTTGGCTATTCTTTTTGTTAATAGTTTATGACTGACAGGTGAGACTTGCTCTTCCAATTCTTGGGCGTTTGGTTTTTTCGGATGATGAAGAAATTTTGGCGGATGCTTGCTGGGCTTTATCATACCTTTCTGATGACTCAAATGATAAAATACAAGAAATTATTGACGCAGGTGTATCTGGCCGACTGGTGCAGCTCCTTCAGTGAGTATTAGTTGTTTCAATGATCCTGATTATGTTGTTTCAATGGTTGATTGCCTAACTATGTATATGGTCTCATTTTCAGACACCCGTCTGCTTCAGTGTTGGTTCCTGTTGTTCGTACAGTGGGAAATATGGTGACTGGAGATGATATGCAAACTCAGGTAGTGATCTGTAACTGATTGAAATTATTATTTGATAGTTTATACGATCAAAAGGGACAAGGTTGTCGATGTCACATTTTTGTCAAATTCTATTTCTTTTAGATTTTGTATTGATTCTCCTTATTGTGTTTTTCTCTCTCTCGCTAGGTGATGGTTGATTATGGTGCACTCCCTTGCCTTTTAAACCTATTGTTACAACCTCTTAAAAAATGCATCAAGAAAGAAGCTTGTTGGGCTGTATCCAACATTACAGCAGGAAATAAGGAACAAGTACAGGTAAAGCCAGGGAATCATAATTTGTTTGTCAATTGAATATAATGTAGGGTCATGACATTTTTCGGATAAGCTGAAGAGTGTTGACTACTTAAATTGTCTAATCTAAGAGATTAAATGAGTTTATATTTTATTCTGAAGTTTATTTTTTTATTTTGTATAAATTAAAAGCCGATGATACGATTTACATATGTAGGCTGTTATTGAAGTCGGTCTTATTCCTCCGCTTGTGAGTCTTCTTCAAAATGCAGATTTTGACATAAAAAAGGAAGCTGCTTGGGCAACAACAAATGTTGCAGCTGGTGGAATTCCTGAGCAGATCAAGTATGTGCTTTCTTTAATAGGTTCTTAAAAATGATTAACTTTCTGAATTTATGATATTAACTTTCTGAATTTATGATATTAACTTATGGGGTTACAAGGTACTTGGTGGATCAAGGTTGCATAAAACCACTATGTGATTTGCTTCTTTGCCCCGATCCAATAGTTATTGCGGTCTGTTTGGAGGGCCTACAGAATATTTTGATTGCCGGAGAAGTAGAGAAGAGTCAACGTGACTCTGAAGATGCCAACTTGTATGCTCAGATGATAGAGGATTCGGAGGGATTGGAGAAGATTGAAAGCCTACAGAATCACGACAACAATGAAATATATGAGAAGGCTGTTAAACTTCTTGAAACATACTGGTGTGAAGTGGAAGATGATATACTACCATCAGGCAATGGTGATCAATCTGGTTTCAACTTTGGAAGCAAAGAGCCTTTATTACCATCTGGTGGATTCAACTTCTGGTGAAGACAGTTTCTTGAATCTATGTCTTGTATATGGAACAGAAGCGTGAGCTGCCTTGTCAGTTGTGTTCTATTAAAAATAAATATTCAATTTTTCAAAGAAAAAATTAGTGCTTTGTTGGTACGTTGTTTCATGTTTCTCATACTTTGATTTTTTCCTTCCTTCACATTTAAAGTTGTAAATTGTTAAAGGATCAAATGCACATTTAAAGTTGTAAATTGTTAGAGGATCAAATGGTTTGGTGTTTAGTTATGGTTGTTTGGACCCAAATTGACAATTGTTGCAACTATCTCTAACTTCTCACTTTTCAATCAAACACCATAGAACAACAAATGATCAAATTGTAACTTGCAAAGGCTATGAGTTCAACATCACATGTATATACTTTCCCCACCTATAAAATATTGAAAAGAATACATAATCTTTGGACAAAAAAAATAAAGTGCAAAAACTAACAGGTGATTAGCATATATTCTCTTTCGGGGATACTCTCATACTTGTAGAGGAGTTAATATAGACTTAACATATATTCTCATTTGGGATACCCTCGTAGAGTTGTTAAATATAGAGTAAAGAGTTGTTAAATAAAGAATTACTCGCAATCTATAAGACGTGTCCAATTGTCCCTATTTTAACATGTTTTTTTAGAAAGAAAAGGGTTAGAAGCATAAAGAGAAAGAGAGAAATATTTATTAGTAAAGATTTCAATACAAATAGTCAATAAAAGAAAAAAACTTTATAGTAAAAACTCGCTCGTAAAGCATCAAATTAAGACTTAAATTACACTCCATGTTGACAAGTGCATTTGCACATTTATTTGACTTATGGTAAATATGACAAACTCACACCTCCCAATTCAATTTGAGCAATTGTTGAATTTATTGTATCAATCGCGTTACAATTATACTATCATGTTTAGAATTTAAAATGTTTTTAGCTATCACTTTGAAATCTATATGGAGCTCAATATCTTGAAACTCAAACTCTTTTGATAATCTTAATCCTTCTAACACACTCCAAAATTTAACAACATTTGCAATACATGAACTCAAATATTTGTCGAAGCCTCCAAACCACTCACACGTACAACCTCTTAAAAAATCACCACATACAACTATCAAATCATTCTTACTGCATCTATCTGTTCAATATCACTCAACTCGAAGATGAAGGAGTCCACCTTATTTGCTTAGCCTCTAAAGCCAACTCTATCTTACTACCATGCAGCTTCACTGCCAAAAAATACTCATGAATAACTTCAGTGACTTGCTCCCACAGAATTCTAGGTCTAAAACAATTCTCAACATGTTTTTTCCTTATTTCTCCACATCAAAAGTGCATGGCAAAAGGTTACCCAAAGTTCAGTCCACGATGAATCTCCAATAATATTCAAACACAGATTAGTTTCCATTCACTCCTTAATAATACTAGTGGAAAAAAATGTCTCTCGTATCCAATTTAACCACATTAGTCCAAATAGAAAAAAAGTAAAAGATAATGACGTAAGACATGTATAATAGATTCCACCTTTGTTCAGTCCACGACAGGAACTCCACAAATACCAAAACTCAAACACAAATTAGTATCCATCCACTTCTTAATATTACTAGTGGAGAAAGAGTTTTTAATATCCAACTTAACCACCTTTGTCCAAATCGAAAGAAAAAAACAAAGGATAATGACGTAAGGCATGTATAATGGATCCCACCTATGTTCCACAGGTCAGTGACTAAAAAAATGTTTTTCTAGTTGCATTTTATTTTTTTTCTCATTGGTCATTATCCTTCCATGATACACCAACCAAATAAAAACTCTTGTTCATTCAAGGACTTTAAGCTTCCATGTCTACCTCAAACTACTCTCGCCATTTTGCCTACCAAAATTACACATTAACTTATAACTTGATGAAACAGTATACTCACTTTTTTTATCCTTTGGCCACCAATAAATATTTCTTCTACTATTATCATCGAGACAAATAATAGCTAGAATTTTAGTTACCATATTTTGAGGAAACCAATGCTTTAAAAGATTCACATTTCATTGACCATGTTGATCTAATAAGTCTTATAAATGCTAATAAGAAGCTGTATTGACACCATCTATATTAATATCCATCAACTTCATACCTGGTTCAACTCAACGATGAGTTCAGACATCTATATTGGCACTATCTCTTATAAAGCAATACACAATCTGAATAAACTTAGGTCACAAGTTACCGAGATTCTTCCATGAATTGGAATCATTTGCCTTAACAATCACACACTCATAAACAATATTGGTCCTCATATATTTGTCACACATAACTTCACAACAAAGAGATTTTTCCTTACTTCGAATGACTCAACCAAACTTCAAAATAGAAGCATTATTCATAATATTCAACTGTTTAATACCTAATCCTCCTAAAAACTTTGGTAGCGTCATTACATCCCACTTTACCGAATGAATTCTTCTATGCTCTTCGTTATTATCCTAGATAAAATAACACTCTAACTTTTGAATCTCATGCAAACAAGCTTTAGAAATGCTAGTAGTCATCATAGTATAGATAAGAATAACTTCAATAAATTTAGAAAGAGTTACCCGACCTACAAAAGAAAGGCGTCGATATTTACAAGAGGCCAACTTTGACTTAATTTGCTCAAAGGTATAATTAAAATCAGATCTTCTTGGTGATCTACCAAGGAAAGGGGCACCTAATTATTTGACAAGCAATTGTGCTTCATGAAATCCATACATAACAGCCAATTTACAACAAACAGACATAAACGTGTTTCTAGAGAAAAAAATGCTTGTTTTATCAATACTCGCTTATTGATCAGACAAAAGGAAAAAATGATTAACAATATCAAGCATACATTGCACTTAAACCTCTATAGCTTGACCAAATAATAAAAGATCATCTAGAAACATCAAGTGAGATATTAGAGGACCATTTATATTTGTCTTCTTAGTTTTTCAAAAGCCTTGATCCACACTATAAAAAATAAGATGAGACCATTTATCCAAATAAACACAAAGAGGTATAGAGAAATAGGGTCTCCTTGTCTTATACCTCCCAAAGATTTGTTAAATTCTAATATAGTTTTATTCCATTTCACATTAGTGGTCATAGTTGTAACACAAGCCATAATAATAGGAAGTAGCTCCAACGAAAATCCCACCTCCTTCAAGATATTTTCAACGAAATACCACTTTAGCATGTCATGTTATTTATTTAAATCAACTTTAATCACAAAATACTTCATCTCCACTTTCATCTTGTGCATGCAATGAGTCATTTCTTGTGTCACCACAATATTATCATAAATATTTCTCTTTGGTATAAAGTCCGTTTGAAAAGGAGAGACAATTTGAGGACTAATAATTTTCAAGTTATTTACAACCACTTTTCTAATAATTTTATACAAATTATTGCAAAAAGAAATGAAACATAACTGATTAATAAACTTAGGACGTCTTATCTTTGAAATTAAGCAAATATCTTTTTGATTAATCTTCACAAGTGCATCTGGATTAGCCCGCATTTTCTTAACAAAATTACAACTATTAGATTCAATGACTTCCCAAGTTTTTTGATAAAAACTAGCATGACGTCCATCTGGTCTAGATGATTCCCAAGGTACCATGTCGAAACCCGCCTGCCTAACCTCTATATAATTCAAATCACCACTTAGAAGATTTAAAGACTTTTAAGAAACCATAGGATAAAAAACTGGTAGTTGGAACCATTCATCCTTTCTAAAAGTTTTAGTAAAAAGATTATTGCAAAAAATAACTTTTCATAGATTAAAGTTGATGTTCATCTTCCACCCACATGTCATTAGTGTCACAGAGCATTTGAACTTAATTTTGCTTTCTCATATTAACAACTTTCAAATGATAGTACTTCGTATTACAATCTCCTTCATGAAATCACTTAGCTCGAAAGCGGTAAAATCACATAAACTCTTCTTAATGAAGAATTTTGTATATATAGCCTTGAAGCTAGAAGTCTAATTTATGGAGAAATTTATTCTCTCTAATTTAAGAAGAATTTTGTATGTATACTTTGAAGCTAGAATTTTTGAAATAAGGTGATCCCCACCTAGTATGAGTGAATGATGCATCCCTATTGAATAATAATGTAAGACTTTTTTTTCATTTGTCACTGCAATACCTTTAATATAATACATATAATTATTTAATATTATTTAAACTTAAAAAAAGAAATTCGTAGGATTTTAGGAATTAAGTTACTAGTCGATTGATTCTACTGAAGCAAACTCGAATCCGACAATCTTAAATATATAAACCCTCCATTTTGTGTGGTACTAGAGATTTCCCTCTCAATTTCATATTGAGTCAAACTCTAAAAATCTATGAAATTTGAAATGGTGTATTAGTAGAATTTAGAAGAAGCAACTTGGAGGCCATTAAACACCCAGAGAGGCACACAAAACAAACGTTCCGGTCCAGTCGTACTTTTGTCTCTGACTACAACACGTGATCTATGTATTTTACCTTATATTTTGTAGCATAAATTAAGAAACAAAAAAATAATAATAACGTGATCTTTCCCTACCGCTGTGTGGTTAATCTTTTACCTATTCAGTCATGTATGTATGGTTGCGATCACACCATCATCGTATTCTTTGTCTTTTCTGTTATTTACAGCGTTACTTACATTAGTAGTAATATTATTTTCTTGCATATGTTATTGTAACGGTACTATTTCAGTAAATAAAGTACCGTTGTTAATGATTAAGCAAGCAACCTTGGTCCTTGACCACCAATGTTCATTCAAGCTGCCACTCATGCACCTCAAAACAAAATTTTCAATTATCTTCTTAATCAACGCTCTAAAAGCATTCTTTGAAAATTTAAGCAAGGTTTTTCTTTTGCCATTTTATATTAAATTATATTTAAAATTATTAATGTATTTTAGTTGTGTTACATATTTTTCTGCAACAGTTAATGAATACTCTATCTTAAGTTTCACGAAAAATAAACTTCTATTTTTTTTAGTTCTTATGATTTATTAAAATAAATTTTGTTATCTTCGTTTTTTATTATAAATTATTTTGAAAAAATATTTTATACTATAATATAAGTCGTTTTATAATATCGATGGATAATTATTTTTTCTATTATATATTTAAATATTTATTATTCTCTTTTCTTTCAATTATGTATATTTGTCTTTTGAATATCATTAATAAAAGACAATTTTTGTAAAACTCTTTATAATTTTTCTTTTTTATACCATAATTATTATATTTTTTAATATGTGTGAAAAGTAAAAAACAATTTATAATAAAAAATTGAGATAGTATTTCTAGAAACAAAAATAATATTAATGCATACAATTTCTCATAAATAATTACTATTTTCTTCATCTCTTATTCATCACTCTACAATAAATCTCACAAATATAAAAAATTAAACATACAATAAATCTCATTCTACACACATTATTAAAATTAGTTTAAAACGTTAAATTATTTTTCCGTCCAACTATTTTAAGGATCTTAAATAATTAAATGTAAAAGTACTTTATAAAATTTTTAGTTAATTTTAATAGTTAAAAATTCAATTTTTAAGAGGGTAATAATTTAAAAACTAAATTGAGTATTTATTTAAAAATAAATTTAAATTTGTAAAATAGTGTTAATTTTACATATTTATATTTAGTTAATATTTGATATCATAACATAGGAAAAAATTACAGATTCCTTTGTTAAAAATAGTTGTAGTTAATAAGTTATACAACAATATATATATATGGTTGATAATTTACAGTTAATGTTTGATAGGTGATAGTTGATGATTCACATTTGATAAATTAATTGAAGTATTTAATAAATTTTTATTTAAATATAAACATAACAATAAATACAATAATAAACACATATAAACAATTATATATATATATATATATATATATATATATATATATATATATATATATATATATATATATATATATATATATATATATATATATATATATATATATATATATATATATATATATATATATATATATATAATTAAACATAATATCAATTTAAGACATACATATAAATTTTATCGGCAAATAATAAAAGATAATTTCAGATAATAAAAGAGGATGAAATTAATAAAAAAGGAGGAATTGAGAATGAAGTTGGAATCAATGGAAGAAGATAATGGAGAAAGGTAAAATAAAAATGAAAGAGAAAGAATATAGAGAAAAATTGAAGTAAAAACTTTATAATATTTTTAAATATAAAATTTGACATTTTCTATTGATATATTTAAAATATATTTATTTTATTTTAAATTATAAAAATGAGTTTTAATTAAAATAATAAAGATAAAAATAAAAGAAAAAAAATGACAAATTAAGAATTATAAATTGATAAGTCACTTTAAATAACTTTTGAGCAAAAGTTAGTAAAAAATATCTACAAACTACAAACTAAAAACAATTATCAAAACAATTTTTTTATTGATTTGAGCTGTAAAATTAAAAATTAATATTTCGTTTTATCAAAGAGGCTATACATTTCAATGATAAATAAATATAATTTTATTAAAAAGTTTAGAATGTAGGATAAAATAAATGTTATGATTAGAAAAACAAATATTTTGGAATGTTATTATACAATAGTAGTAGACTTAGCACACTTGATGATTTAATAATCAAATCAAATGATGAAAAATACAATCTAAGGGTTAAAAAGACAGTGCCGCCTTTTATCGATTTTTAGGATGTTTTGGCGGGTGAAAATAGAATTGGGAAAATGAAAAGGGTATAATAGTAATTTAAAAAGGTGAAAATTTAGGGTTTTGAGTTTGCATTTATAAAGATCTGGTGTTTATAGATCTGCTGCGGCTGGTGCGTGCGTGTGTCTAGAGACTATATCAGTGTCTCTTTACGATTCATCTCTCTCCCAATCTCTCTATAAATCTCTCTCTTTCTCTCTCTAAACAGTCACTACATCATCATCACTACCCTATTTTCAATCCTGCATGCTCGATCTTCCATTCTGATTCATCCAATTCTGTTTCCCTCACCGGAATCGCGTTTTTGTTTGATCAGAATCGAATCAGAATGGTGGTTGATCATACCGGAAAGGTGAGCATCGATTAGCTTCTCACACTTGAATCATTCACAATCATTCGCGATTACGAACTTCAAATCACTGATCATTTTAATTCCATTTCATTTCAGGGATCGGAAGCTGAAGATTCAAACCCTAACGCCGTTTCATCGGATAACAGTCCAAAGAAAACCTGCGCCGATTGCGGAACTTCCAAAACACCTCTATGGAGAGGCGGACCTGCAGGACCAAAGGTAGAGCTAATCTAATCCAATCTAATCTAATCAACTCATAATTTTTCCAATTTGATGATTAATCTGATTAATCACACTTATTTGTTCTTGATCTGATCTAATTTTTGTCTGATGTACAGTCTCTGTGTAATGCTTGCGGGATCAGGAGCAGGAAGAAGAAGAGAGCGATTTTGGGGATAAGCAAAGGAAACAACGAAGATGGAACGAGAAAGGGGAAAAAGAGCAATGGAAGCGGTGGAAGCAAGGTTGGGGATAATTTGAGCATGAAGCAGAGACTATTGAATTTAGGGAAAGAAGTGTTTATGCAGAGATCGCATTGGAAGAAACTGGGAGAAGAAGAAAAAGCTGCGGTGCTTTTGATGTCGCTATCTTATGGATCCGTTTATGCCTAAATTAAACCCTAAATCTTTGCCCTATCTTTTTTAATTTTAGAATTAGTAGATTATTGTTTTAGGTTTAGGATCCAATTCAAATCCATATCCAATCCATCAGTATGAGCCTAACCTTTTCATAAATGTAAATTTTTATTTTCAGCTACTGATTATTGTTGCTCTAGAATGAGAGAGTTATGAGTGTGTTGTAAGAAATGAATGAATCTAAGTTCAGTTTTGGTTCTATGATATATTTTATCTGTTTTTTCTTCATTTTATTGTTATATTTTCTTATCTTTATCAAGAGGATGTAAATCAATCACCTTATGTCGGCAGAATAAAAAGATTTTGTTTTGGATGATAATAATAGATATAAAATGTAATAGTAACATATAATTTGGATTCTGATTTTTCATCTATGGATTCGGTGTCTACAATTCTCAAAATGGATCTAACACTTCATCAAGTACAATATGACCGCATCTGGTAAAACTTCGATTAGGTGAAATTTGCACAACTTCAGTTTTGTATGCTAAGTTTTAAGGCTGGGTGTCGTTTGGTGATCATGTTTTTTAAATGAATTAGACAAATGAATTATTTCCTTTTTGTGATGTGTGGATTCAATTTGGATCACTCAAAATATTATTAGTATTTATTTCAAAAAAGTGGAGTTGGTGGCAAAAATTAAACAACTTTTGAATGAGGAGGGAATGTGAAATTTATAGTTCCCGCTAGTTTGACTATTGAAAACATTGAAAAGCAATGGGAATCAAGAATTTTGATTCACACTGCCAAGTCATATTCCTTTGTCTGTCTATCCTCAACACTAACTAGTCTTACTTGAAAAAAAGTACTTATAATATCATAGTACTTCTAATTATGAATAATTTGTTTATATTCTATGTAACTCTTAATCAGTATTGTTTTTTAACTACGAGATGAAGTTTTGTGTTTATTTTTATATGTCTTCTTAAAACATCATACTCTTTTAAATATTAGATGAAATTTCATGTCTATTTCTATTTTACGCATATCATAAAGTGTGACTCTTTTATTAACATAATTTTAAGTCAAATTTCTAACTGAGGTAAAAAGTCTTTCATGAGTAGTAAACACATCTTAATTCTAATTGTATTACTTTTCTAAAATTGAATTATTCTTCTTTTTATTCTTGTCTATCTTCAAACTTGAATTTGACAATTGTTGTCCAACTTTTTGTTCTAACACGTATAACCTGCATCATTCAATCTAATCCTTGATCTTTTTCTCGTTTATATGTTAGACATACTGCTACTAGATTAACTTATTGTTGCTCACATTGACTGTTGGATGAGAATTGGAAGTAGAAAAACAATCTAGAGTGGGAAGAGGTGAATAGATCTTTATTGAAAAAATCAACCGCCTTTTTCAAAATTGAATATCAAAGATTTTTCAAAAGTGCGCGCGAAAGATTTGAAGTGAAAATATGAAAATTATACTTTTTGAAATTTGATTACGTTAACACAAAATCAATATAAAAATACCAATGGTGGTTTTCGTGATGATACACAAGTGTATACGATTGATTCAATTATAAATTTTCATAAGATGTGATTATACAACGATTCAATTATAATAAATTCTAACCTCAATTATTTCTCAGATTTTAATCATAATGCAACTATATTAGGTACTAATTCTAACAAAACCTAACATTACACAATAAATCGCTATCAATTGAATAAATGATAGACTATGGTAGAATTGAAATACCTAAGCAAGCAAATCCAACAAAAATTAAATGCCGAGAGTAAGGAGAGAGTTGACACCGAGATTTATAGTGCTTTAACGTTCGTCCTCACTTTGCCTACATGCATTCTTCAATGATTTCTCATAAGAACATGTATTGTTCCTTTTTATTTGATAAATATTTGCAAGAGTGCATACAATCACTAATCCACAATAATGCTGAGAATTATAAAATCTCCTATTAGGATCTTGACTTGTATATAGTGTAATGCTAAACTCTCTTGCGTGATCTTTACTCGATTAATGCTTCTTGAATCTTCCAATATCACCAATCTGCTCCAAAACTTCGTGTGCAACCATTAATCCCTTGATCCTACTGGTTCCTTGAGCGATGATTTGTTCGAAGATTTGAGAAGAACTCTGCCTTATCCGTAACATTCCATATAATTATTACCAAGGCAATCTAGAGAGAAGTACCTTCTTCTTTTCATTGCAATTTGTCAGCACCAATGACAACAACCCCAATCTTGCAAGCTACATGAAAATCTAAATCGCATCTCCAAGAATGATTAGTTTCAAGAGCATGTCTCATTCAATCAATTACAAATCTCTCGTTATCAATATCTGGAATCAAGCTGAAGTTCAAGATGTTAGAGTTTTATTGCAGAAGCTTTGAACTTTTCAAAACAGAGGGTGTTGATTTTCAAAAAATCACACAAAAATGATTATCAATTTGTTGATTCGTTACATGAAAAATGATCATAACAAGGTTTTATATGGTTGGAAAAATTAGTTAGATTCAAATCAAGGATATTTCATAATTTGAATCAACTTAACAAGTGAAGTGGAATAAAAGAAAAATAAAGTTTTGACCCATTTTCAGCTAATTCAAATTAAGGACAAAGTCTGATTCGAATCAAGTGTTGATTCTAATTCAAATCAATCAATTTGAGCCAACGGGAAAATATGGAAAAACTATCTGATTCGAATCAGGTGTAAAGTCTGATTCGAATCAACTCTAGTAGAGGTGACCAAGAATTGATTGATTCGAATCATGTCTAAATTTTGATTTGAATCAAAGTGTTTGAAAATTTCCGGTTTGCCTCTATCCAAAGTGATTCAAATTAGGATATGTGCTTGATTCGAATCAAACACATAAAATCTCAATTTTTCATAATTTTCAGAAGACTTTTAGATTTTTCTTTCCACCTAACTTGAATCAATAATACATATGGCTCTTATTCCACCGACTCATGCAATTGATTAAAAACATCATAATCAATTTGTCGGGGCTCAGTGTCAATTTTCATAAAAGCAGACTTGTTGGAGTGAATGTCAGCTCTCATTTTTTATTGAAGGCGACAAATTTCCTCTCGTGTAAAATTGAGGCTTCGACTTTCAACTTCTTGGGTATTCCAATTGGATCTAACCCCAGGCGTATTAGCACTTGGAAGCCGTTGATTATTAAGTTCAGTAACAAACTTGCTTTGTGGAAAGGTCGAATGTTGAGCATGACAGGTAGAATTACTTTGATCAATTCTATTCTTACTTCATTACCTATTTTCTTGCTGTCTTCTTACAAAGCTACGGTAGCTGTCTGGAACAAGATTGACAAGGTTAGAAGGATCTTCCTTTGGGGTAGTAAAGAGGGAAAATCTAAGATTCATTGGACCATGTGGGAGTTAGTTTGTAGAGATAAAGCTAATGGGGGGTTGGGTATTAAAAGCATCAAGAGTATAATTTGGCATTGTTATCAAAATGGAAATGGAGAATTTTGTCTGAAAAGTTGGCCCTTTGAAAGAAGGTGCTTAAGGCTCGTTACGGTTATGTCGAACATTTAGTGTTGATGGATTATCACAACCTTCGCATTCTATCGTCAATTTGGTGGAGAGATGTGTTGAAGAGTGGAACTATTTCTAAGATTGGTGAATTCAATTTTACTAAATCCATGTATTTTGTGCTTGGTAAGATACAATTCCTTTTTGGTCAGCCATCTGGAATGGGCAGGAGCCTTTGGTAGAGTTATTCAATGATTTATACCAGCTTAGTAACAAGAAAAATTTAATGGTCAAGGATATGTGATTGTGGATTGATAACCAATGGATTTGGAGTGATCTTGGGACAGCAGAACAGGGTCAGCAGGCTGTGTACAACAAAATTTCACAGTTATTCCATGTTAGAACAACATAAAACATAAAACCATAATTTTGAAGGTAGTAACAATGGTGAAAAGAAACTTAGAAAGAAGATGAATTGAGAGAAAGAGAGAATATGGAAGAAAGTAATATTGGATGAATCACTAAATTGACATCAACCATGAATTGGGATTACAACAATGTATATATACACATGAGAGAATAACACAACTAATACAAAATACAACTAAAGTGTCATGCTGTTAAATTCTGTTATTTTGGAAAAACTAACAGCTTTTCAAAACAGATCACAACACACCACCTCACTTTAGTTGCTCCAAGTTCATCATGCTCAAGCTCTTCAACAATCTCTTGAACACCTTATTTGTCACACCCTTGGTCAACAAATCCGCAACTTGGTCCTTGCTCGGCAATAGCTCAATCTAAGCTTTCCATCTCCGACCAATTCTCTCAAGTAATGAAACCGCATATCAATATGCTTGCTCCTTCCGTGTGCAATCGGATTCTTCTTAAGATTTATCACGGAAACATTATCCACCAACAATATGGTGGCATCATCATCACCACATCCCAATTCCTTCATGAGATTCACTAACCACATAGCTTGGCAAGCACTCAATGATGCTGCAATATACTCGGCCTCACAAGAAGAGAGTGCTACAACTGGTTCCTTCTTCGAACACCATGAGATTGGTGTACTACCAAACATAAAGATGTAACCCGCCGTAGATTTTCGATCATCTTTATCTTCGCACCAATTAGAATCGGTGTAGCCAAGTAAAGTACATTTGCGATCCATATCCTATGTGGGAAACAAAATACCACAACCAAGAGTACCTTTCATATATCTAAGGATTCTCTTGACCGCCGCCAAATGAGGCACCTTAGGTCTCTTCATGAATCTACTCGCAATACCGACACTAAAAACCAAGTTTGGTCGAGTATTGCACAAATACCGTAACGATCCAATCAAACTCCGGTAAAGTGTTGGATCCACATCATCCTCATCATCACTTTTGGACAGCTGAACTCTAGCCTCACAAGGTGTATTAGAAGCATTACAATGCTCTATTTCACACTTTTTCAAGATATCTAGAGCATACCTTCTTTGATGCATAAGCAACCCCACTTTTGACT